GAGTTGGTTCTGACCCATAGCGACCCTGTATAGGGTTTCTAAGGATCAGCTGGTGAGCTTGAACCACTGACGTTGCAGTTCAAATGACTTTGATTACACACACACACACACACACACACACGTGTTATTTTGTTAAGTGCCATCTAGTCAGTTTCCAGGGAGTGGCAGGTGAACTTGAACTGCTGATCTTGCAGTTCAAACTGTCCAGCACATTAACCCACAGTACCACACCAGGACTCCATATACATATACACACATATCTATCTATCTATTTGCCTATTTGCATTAGGCACATCTGTTGCACAAGACTTTTTTAAAGTGTTGAAGAGCAAAGATATCAGCTTGAAGACTAAGGTGTGACTGATCCAAGTCATGGTATTTTCAGTAACCTCATATGCATGTGAAAGCTGGACAGTGAATAAGGAAGACCGTGGAAGAATTGATGCTTTTAAGTTATGGTGTTGGAGGAGAATATTGAAAGTGCCAAGAGCTGCCAAAAGAACCAACAGATGTGTGTTGGAAGAAGTGCAGCCAGAATGTTCCCTGGTGGCCAGGATGGCCAAACTTCATCTCTCATACTTCGGACACTTTGTCTCATACTTCGGACATATATATTATCAGGAGGGACCAGTCGCTGGAGAAGGATTTTATGTTTGGTAAGGTGGAGTGTCAGAGAAAAAGAGGAAGACCCCAGCAAGATGGATTGGCCAAGTGGCAGCATCAATGGGCTCAGGTGTGGCAACAATTGTGAGGTTGGCCAAGGATCAGGCGTGTTTCGTTCTGTTGTGCATAGGGTCTCTATGAGTCGGTACTGACTTGATGGCACCTAACAACAACAACAACAAAACAACAAATGTATCCATAGCATGGCTCCATAGGATAAGCACTGGACTTTGAACCACACAGTCGGCTGTTCAAGCCCACCAGCTGCTCTGCGGGAGAAAGATGAGGCTTTCTGCTCCTGCAAAAGATTTAAAACCTCAGAAACCTTACACAGGATCGCTGTGAGTCAAAACCAACTCCATGGTACTTAACAACCACAAAAACATCATCTGTTTCACTGATTTATTGACTGAGATACCACCTGATTATCCTATCACTGTTTTAATTTAAAGCAGTGTTAGTCATCTAGTGCTGCTATAACAGAAATACCACAAGTGAATAGGATTTTTTGTTTTGTTTTGTTTTTTAACTTTTTATTGTGAATTCAATGAAGAGTTATAGAACAGATCATCAGTTTTACATTCATCAAATTATATACTTCACTTCATTACAATGATTGCATTCTCCCTCAAGGTACCAACTTGTTGTTGTTGTTAAGTGCCATCAAGTCAATTCCAACTCATAGCGACCCTGTATAGGGTTTCTGAGGAGTAGCTGGTGGGTTTGAACTGCCGATCTTGTGGTTCACAGTCTAGTACCAATAGTTTTTAACCTCTGTTCACATTAATGATTGCATTCCTCTCCATGTCTCTGCTACTTTCATCTTTCCTCTGCTAACCTCCCTCTTGTTGTATATTGTCTGCCCTATCACCCATGTTAATATGTGTCTATCCTCTAGCATGTGAATCATTTCCCCCCCACCTCCCTCCATAGTAACCGTCATAGATTGTTCTTTTACCAACAAAACCTTTTCTTAACTTTTTACAACATTGATCGCATACAATATATGTCCGTTTGTGATTGAATAATTTCACTCAGCATCATGTCCTCCAGGTTCATCCATGTTGTGAGATTCATTGTTATTTTTTAGTGGTTCATAGTATTTATTCCACTGTGTATATGTACTATAGTTTGTTTAACCATTCTTCTGTTGGTGGGCATTTAGGGGCTATCTCCATCTTTTTGATGTATCAATTATAGGCAGCATATTGAAGCATCCTGTTTTCTTCATTCTGTTCTGTCTCTTGACTGGTACATTTAATCCATTTACAGTCAGTATTAATTATCGATAGGTATTAATTGATTGCAGTAATTTAGCTGTGTAGTTTTTTGTGATGCTGCTGGTTTCCTTGTTCCATGTAATTTTCTGAGTTCATTTAGTTTATGGATTTTCTTCTCATTTTCATTTCTGTTGTGTTAATGTTTAGTAAATCTTTCTGATGTTCCTCTTTGGTTTTTTGCTTGTGATGTTGTGGTTGTTAAGTGCCGTGGAGTCAGAGTGACCCTGCACAGGGTTTCCGAGGCTGTAAATCTTTACGGGAGCAGAATGCCTCATCTTTCTCCCGTGGAACCTCTGGTAGTTTCGAACTGCTGACCTTGAGGTTGGCAGCCAGGTATATTTTCTTTGAGGTTACCTTGTGATTTATTAACTTTTTTCTCTATTTAAAACAGGCTGATTTCAAGGGTCATTCCCATCTCTTCAGTACACAGGGTTGATAGGGATGGGCAACTTAGACATTTAACTACCTAAAATGGGGGGGTTATCAAGACATGAAGTGACTGGCTTAAAAGTTTTCAAGAGATAGTTTAGTTTCAGAATGTCCAGAGGAAGGTAGAATCCCCACTGAATAAAAGGAGATGGGGATAAGATTCTTATGATTCAGTAGTGAGTCATTGTTATCATGACTAATTGCAATTTTCACAACTTAAAGGTAGAAATTTTGTAACAAAAAGGAGGGAGTAGTTAATTTTATAGTCCAGAAACAGAGGACGCTAGGACCATCAAGGGAGAAGAGCAGGAGTGGAATATGGGACCCTATCTAGAAAAGCAGCGACACCAGGGGTGGAGGCAGAGATGAGGACATGGAGAGGTAGAGCAGTTGAGGACCCAAACTCATGGAAAGAGAAAAGCTGTGTGCTGGCAGCCAGGAGGCAGGCTTGCCCTTTGGTTGTTTAAATGATTATACATTCCTGAGTGTTTTGGTGTACTTAAAAAAAACACCCAAAATCCAGAGGGATTAGAAGCAAATACTGTTGAATGATGATGCACGGAGGGGATTGTAATCATTACAATGAAACAAAATATGATAGGATGAGTGTAAAGCTGATGTTCTCCCATGTAAACTATCATTCAATTCACAATTAAAAAGATAATAATAATAAAAAAAAAACAGGCTGTGTTATCTTGGAAATCTACCCAACTTCCTTGCCATTTGGAAGTTCTGTATTTACATTATTCCCTCTTTTTGCTTTGTACTTGACTTCATTATAGATTGATATCTTTGGTTCCCTATTTTCAGTATTGTAGGTTTGTTTTACTTTAAATGTTTCTGTATCTGGATTGAGTTCTAGGTGGTGTTGTCTTGGTAATCTCAGTTTGTTGCTTCCTGTTGTTGATTCTCAGCCCAGAGAACACCCTCTAGCATTTTTTGTAAAGTTGATCTGGTCACTACAAATTCCTTTAGTTTCTGTTGGCCTGCCAGTCCTGAACCACTGCCATCTTGTGCCATCTTCAGTGCTGCCACTCTTTCTCAGCCTCCTTGGTGGGAGAATTTCTCAGCACAGGGCTCCTGGTTACAAAGGATTTGTTTTCAAACACAGGATTCAAAAATTTAGTGGAAAAATGTCATTATTTTTAAATTACATTTTCCATGAACTTTTTGGAGCCCCCTTATATTTTGTTTCAGTATCAGACTATATTTATTTAATTAATGGAATTATTGTTATATGG